TAGCTGGTTTTTTTAACCAAATATTTTATACACATAAAAAATAAATTTCAACAGTCAAATACAAAGAATTGAAAAAATAATTGTGGCATTAGGAAAACCGTATCCTTTTCTGTAAAATCATAAGCAAAAGCAGGGAGAAATATCTCATGCTTTTTTAATTCTGAAATTTGTTATTTACTTATTTCTAAATAGCTACAGTTGATTTGAAAGGATACCTTAAAATGTAAGGAAAGAATGCATTTTTTTCCAGGACTTGCAGTTTCATTCCTTGCTGGAGGTTATGAATTTTTTTTCTGTGCAACACATTAACCTAGTCAGAAAGAGAATTTAAAAAAAAGTAAGCAGTATTGAGCAGTTGGTGTATTCCTAAGCATCTCTATAGGAGGAAAGGTTTCTTATAAATTAGTATTCCTCAACTCTAAGAAGCTTTCTCTCTAATTCATATGGGTCAAAACAGTTCCTCTCACGAAAACAATTTAGAAAATTCAAAGGTAATCCAATTCTAGGCTCTCTGCCATCCAGATGCTTGTATCCAGAAGGAAAAAAAAATCACCTTAATCCTTTTCTGTTTTTATAATTACTTGTTTTTCCTATTCCCAGAAGTTCTTCTGTTGAACACAAAAGTTACCATATCCAATTATACCTTTTTGTCCTTGTTTATAAAATCTTCATGTTTCCTCAGTTATATATTAACACAAGATTAATCACTTGATCAATCTTAGGGTTTTTTTCCATCTGGCACAGTGACAGCCACCAGCCATTTGGTGGCATGTTCTCAGAGTGTTTGTGCAGTCAATGTATGTGTGTGACTGTATGGGGGAAAAAAGAGGGGTAATTAGAGAGAAAGAAAGAGCAAGAACACCAGTATCCCATTTAGCATGGTAAATGCCATGGCCTTTTGGAGAAACCAGCTTCCACGTGTGATCATCTAATAGCTTCTGATCCACGTTGTTGTGTATTTCACTGTTTATATAAGAGAGGCTGACAGGAAGGGCACTTCTTGGCAGTTAATGATCACTGTCATTGACCAAGCCAATCAGTCAGTAACTGGAAATATCTGACCTTTATGACTTCCTTCCTTTGATGATTCTCTTTAATCATATATTTTTTTAACCTTTCCTGTTGGATCTGAAACTGTGTGCTTTGATATTAATGTAATGTGCCATACTAGAATGAAGAGATTTTTCTTTCTCAGACTTATTCTGACAGTTACTGTAACCAAAGAGAAAGCAAGATTTGTTTCTGAAAGCTCCATCATATTTACATTGTCTTCTAATATTTTCCTTTACCTCCCTTACCTTTACTGGAGCTGCTATTACTTTGTACTGCCCACTGGATATTATCTTCAGAGTTCATTTCAGAAAAAAGCCCTGAATTTATCAATGATTGTTTGCTTAAGGTCTGCTACAATATGAGTATTTTAACCCAGGGAATTGAAAGGTTTCCAAAATTGACTTTCTCTGACAAAAATACACTGTTTGATGAAGAGTGTAGCCTTTCTTTGGGAGAAGGTTATTAACAAAATTTTAGTTTTCAGATTACTTGAGGTTTATTTGGTAAGTCATTGTAAGTTCAAATGCTGTCATAAACAGAAGTCAATTTACTAAAATCTATCATATTCATAATGTTCTTAAAAGAACTTCATTTTCCAAGTCATCTTGTGAATAGTTGCATTTATTACAGTAAATACTTATATACCTCTGGCCAGGGAAAAACATTCTGATTTATTTAGGCACATGTGAATACAAAGCAGAACCTTAGATTTCCAAAGTGTGTTATCATCTAATAATTTTCCTAAAAACCATGGCTAGTCAGTAAAGTGCTGAAGGCCATGTTTGACTTGGTGGCCCCCAGTGAGCAGAGAACTCAAATCAAGCATGGGTGCTGCTGCTCTGACCTGCTGGAGCCTTGGAGACATGGCTTTGCTCCCCATGACTGAGGCTTGGGGACACTTTGGCTGTGCAGCCAGGTACAGCACACATGGAGCAAGTTCAGCTCAGTGGCCAAACTGATTTCCATGGTCATATTTTGTTTTGTCTTCTGGTTAAGCCTATTTCATGCATAGCATAACAGACACTGCAATACACAAGAAAAAGGGACCAGTCCAAGGGCACCGAAGCAAATACTTTGCAAAAGGAAAGTAGCACAACTCCAATGATTTCAGTGGGCATTCCCATTAACATAGTGCCTCTAGCTGGAAAGATGCAAGAAGGTTAATGTTTGTTAATGTATTCTGGCCTTCTTTTGGTGAAGCTCAGAGACACTGTCCTGCCCAGTGTGAAATCTCTGTATTTGACTTGTGAATGGAAAAGATTAAAGTTAATTATGAACCGTAGCTTTAACCTATAGACTTTCTGTATTACAGCATTCAGGTAAGTTTGGACAATATTTCTAAAATTATATGAAAATTATTTCTTGATGTTTTTTTGAATTATTGTTTGTGAAGCTTTTGTTGAAATTATTATGCTTCAGTGAATTGGTGAAAAATTACTTATCCCTGAACACCTGAGATACTACAGTAATTTTCTACATCTGGAAAAATGTAATATTGGTATAGCGCTCTATGAGCACGGTGTCCATGACAGTGAGCTCTCATTTCTGGCACCAAGCAGCCAATGAGAAAAATGAACTGATGTTCCAAATGCCAGGCCTCACCTCCAGAAATTCACAAAACAAAGACCTGTATCTTGTCACCACACTGATCCCTGCTTTGTTTTGCTTGATAACTCTATGCAACCCCTGACTTCAGTGGTGACAATTATGACATTGTGAAGTGCCCTGAGACCAGCTGCTGAAAATTGCCACCCCTGAGATGCTGCTAAATAACCCCACCAAAGCCAGCCTCCCCCCTTGTGTAAGAGAGTAATTCGTACTGTGCCTTGGTAAGGGGACGCTGGGGACTGAGCTCTGGTTTGCAACTCAGCTAATTAAACATTAATGAAGTCCTTTCAAAAGAGGGAGCTTTGCTTCACACTTCTGAACGCCTAAATCCAATCTGTAAATGTTTGTTTTCCCCATTTTAGCTTTTTAATTTATTCCTCAATTTTGTAACCCCTGAAATGACAATAAAATACACTAGATTTGAAATAGAAGTCTCCAAACAGTATTTTGGCAATCTGTTACGAGCTGGAATGCATATGGATTGCTCAGTAAATCTAAATTATTGGCACTCAGGAGATAGTATTTCCATCTATTTTGTTTTATTGTATAATACTTTGCAGCTATGGCTGCAGTGCTGTTATTAACTTGTGATAGTTCTAAACCCGGGTAGGTGATTAGATCATTTACTGTGTAAAATTCAGGCCTCCAAAGTAAGATGGTGCTAATCAGTTGAGCCATAGGAGTCCCAGCTGCTCACCCTCTCTAAAGATTTGACCCCTACTGTATTGGATAAGTGAGCCTCAGCAGAATTTTAGTTTGTATTTGGAAACAGTTGGTAGAATATATATTTTTATTAACTTGCTATAATAGAGATAAGATACAGAAAACATTGCCACAGTACAGGATGGTTTTAATTTGTACAAAGAAGTTCATGACAAGAAAACAGTCTTTCCAGATACAAAGATGGTTTTGCATATTGCAAACATGCTTTCAACCATTTGGAAAGAAGTATTTTTCTCCACTGAAGTTAATTCCATTTCGTATTAGCATGAATTACTTATGTATCTTTAAAAACAAGGTAGCTCTCTATGTTAAATGACAGCTGGCCTTGGTGAAAGATGATTTTGCAACTTGGGCATTCAGGAGATATGGTATTGCCACAAAGCCACTGTTGATCCTCAGGCAACTGATTCTATTGGATTTCTTGCCTGTAAAGTGAGATAAGTCATCCCTCATAGCTAAGGTAGGATTTTCCTTCCTTTTTTTCTTTCTCTCCACATCCTTGCACTTTAGATGGATTTGAAATTATTCACTTAGGAAAAAAAAAACCAAAAAAACCCAATGCTTGCTCAAGAAGCACACAAACAGACTTAATCAAAAAATCTTGAGAATTGCCAAGTCTAGCACTAGTTTCCAGAGGAAGGAGAAGAGGACAGATAGAGCCACTCCCAGATAGTCACTGAAAGCTGTGAAGATGTTTTCCTGGGCAGCTGGAACCTGGCTGAGAGATGTCTTTCACCAGAGCCTTTCTGAGCCCAGCTGCAGCCACCATTGATGCAGGTGGTACTTTGGGTTTGCACAGCTTCCCCAGCTGATTTGGGCTGGGAGTGGCTTCAGTTATGAAGGGTTAAGTCATTTCAGAGTTTATTTATAGATTGCCACTGTGGCCACATACCCAACTAACACCAGATTTCTTAGGTAAGTCAGTGACCAAGATGGAAGAAGACTTGCCGGTACCAAGTCCAGCATTTAACATGCAATAAAACCTCTTCCCCCAAAAACTCACAGTATTTGATTTGAAAGTATAAAAATGTATTACTCTTGCTGTGTTATGTCTATTGGGGGCTTATTTAATGCACATTTACTGCCCTCGCCCAATTGGTTCAGACATAACTGAAAAATAAATGTTATTTAGAGAAGCATGTGAATGTTATGTAAAACCAGAAGAATGCCATTCAGAACTTAAGTTCCTACTAACCTACACAAAAATGCTGAAGCGATTGTTCAGCTTATTTTCTCAAACTATCACTTATGGCTTAGGCTTCAGACCTTAAGTCAATGACAGCAGTTAATCCAAATAGCAATTACAACAGCCATTTAGAAGTAAAGTGATTTTAACTTCTCACCATTAATACAGCCTACGTTAGCAAACATGAAATGGAGGAACTTCTCTCTTCAACCAATAAGAATTTGTATTTTTTTGATACGTTTACAGACTGATATTAGTGGTTTTCCTTGTAAGAAAAATAATAAAAAGTGTGTGTATATATATATATACATATATATACATATACACATACACACATACACACATACACACATACACACATACACACATACATACACACACACATATATATATATATATATATAAAATATGAATGGCTGCTGAAGAGCAAGTGGCCTTAGAAAAAAATACAGGAAGACAGCACGGGGACACTTTCACATACTTAAAGCAACAAAGAATGACTTGTCCAAGCATTCTGTCAGCTTTTCAAAATGAAATTCATATGATCAGACATCTATGCACACGATCAGACATCCATGCATGCTGTGGTATGTGTTCTTTGCACATTTTTGTCAGTTTCATCCACTGAGCAGCTTGCTCAATAAAGACCAAAAAAAAAAAAGAATAAATCCAAAACATAAATTTTCCTTATGCTTTTGATAAAGGTGTTACATTATCTACATTATCAAAATTTGCAGCAACATCGCACCAGTTTGAGTTCTTGTCAGAGCTTACAAAAGTAGCTGAGGCAGGTCTTACTGGCAGGGAGGTGGCAATCTTCCAGCAGCTCCCAGGTGCTGCAGAGCTCAGCAGCAATTAAAGATGTGCCACTCTTTGCCTCCCAGCCAAGACCATGATAGCTTGTAAAAACTCAGAACAAAGCTATGAATATCCTGTCAGCTTTTGGAAACACTGTAAAACTGAAGTTCTGGCTACATGTGGTCATTAAAAACTGCTTCAAGCGGTTGGAAAATATAGTGCAGTAACTCCTTCATCCTGGACAGGTGCCACTCAGGTTTACTCTCTCATCTGGCAGCTGATGTTCCCTCTGTGGCCTCCTGTGAGCGTGGTGATCTTGCTTTATGAACAGGGCTGGTGGATGGGAGCTCTGCCTGGCTTTCATTCTCTGCATGCCCACTGTGACTGTGCTCTTCAGCTTTCAGCTTGCCTGAGAATTCCATCAATGAGAGCATGTGGTTAAAGTTACCATGAGGAAAATGGGTAACCTCATTACTTGAGAAGCATTGTCACACAGGAGTTTCAGGGAGTATTCTAAACATTTACATGTAAAACTTTCTACTCAACCACTTCCACTGAAGTGGTTCTGACTGACTACCTCTTACAGTTAAGACCTCAGTGCTTTCCAGAGATCTTATAGAGTATTTGGAGTTTACCATGCTCTGAGCATGCTAACATTCCTGTCCCCTTCAGACTGGACTGAAAGTCAAACAGAATCATCTTAGTTGGAAAAGACCTGTACAATCATCAAGTCCAACCCTTAACCCAGCACTGCCATGTCCACCACTAAATCATGTCCCTAAGTGCCACATCTACACATCTTTCTAATACCTCCAGGGGTGTGACCCAACCACTTCCCTGGGCAGGCTATTCCAATGCCTCACTACCATTTCTGTGGAGAAAATTTTCCAAATAGCCAACCTGAACATCTCCTACTGCAACTTGAGACCATTCCCTCTCATCCTGTCACTTGTTATCTGGGAGAAGAGACTGACCCCTGCCATACCACAACCTCTTTTCAGGTAGTTGTGGAGGTCCCCCCTGAGGCTCCTTTTCTCCAGGCTAAGCTTCCTCAGCCTCACCTGACAGGACTTGTGCTCCAGACCTGTCATCAGCTCCTTTGCCCTACTTTGGACATGCTCCAGCACATCAGTGTCTTGTAGTGAGGGGCCCAGAACTGAATCCTGGCTCCAAGGTGTGGCCTCACCAGTGCTGAGAGCAGTGGGATGATCACTGTCCTGCTGGCCACACTACTCCTGACACAAGCCATGATGGTAGAACAGCATGCACAGTTTGCATCAACATAAATAACTACTCAGTATCCACTGTCAGAGAAATGAAGTATTTTTTATCTCCTGACTGCCAAACTAGATAACTGAATACTGTAGCTCTGTAGCTTCAGCATGGGGAGTGAAAGGTGTGAATGGTAAATGCCCTGAGGTCTCTAAATTACCTAAAGCATTCTTTCAGTAACTGTAAGATAGCTATGGTCTCACCAACTGCATTACAACTTACACTGTGGATCCAGTTGAAAAACTGGGGTTTGGCATTTCCCAGTGCAATACAGCCCCAGCTTTGTTCCCCTCCCGGATTTTGCATAATAATTAAAGCTGTCACTGGTGTCACTAATGGTGTCACTAAATATATATATATATATAGTGCCAATTCAGAGCTCAAGGTCAGTCTGTTAGAGAGAAAAGAAGAGACATTTATGGCTACATTGCTGGAGAAAAATATTTAAAAGAGCATCTCTTCAAAGCTATACAACTATTTTAAGCATGTGGTGTGATTCTTGGGGTTACCCTGTGCAGGACCAGGAGTTAGACTTCAATGATCCTTCTGGGTCACTTCCAGCTCATGGTATTCTGAGATTCTATGATTTTAGAAGTTACAAAAAATTGAGGTCAAGCAGTCAGCAAAGTGATTCTGAAATGGTCAAGGGTAAAAAAAAATACTATAATCTATCACCATGATCTATTTGCACTTCATCATCTGGGTATCACCACTGAATTCACAGATTCAGACAGCTAGAAGTCCAGAAATAATGGGATAAGATAAAAAGGGAACAAAGATTTTGATTGGAATACAAATTGTTTTTTTCTAAGCTATTTTGAAACTGATGTGGAACAAATTACTATCTGCATTCTTTTCAGTCATACCTATAATAAACCCATAAATAAATACAAAACTTAAGTGAAGCAGAGCACTGCTTTCCACAGCTCCTGCCCTTGATCCCTGCAAATACCAGGAATCACTCCGGTTGTCTTCCACATGGTCTGATAAAAAGTTTTTTGAAATTCTATTTCACAGCATTAGTGTTTTGAAAATGTTGTTATCCTCTGTTCTTTTCAATAGACAGAAACAGAGGTCTCCAGAGAGCCATTCATCTCATCCTAAGATAGGCATCTAAGGCAGGTCAGAAAATGGTGTTCTGAAGATTATTCTATTAACTATAAAGGGAGAGTAGACTCAGATTTCCAACTTTTAGAAGTCTGTAATTAGACAAGATGATTTTCACTCATCAAGCTACTTTTAGACAACTTTTTTCCCTCTTAAGATATAAAATCTCAACTTTTTAAACTAGAAAAGTACACTACACCCTTGCTAAATTTAAAATCCTGCATATAGTAAGATTGACTTTATTCTTCTGCACCCTAGACAAACTTTCAAGCCTTTCCTTTTTCCCCAACTTGAAATGCCAGCATACTAGAGGGACATTGCCTTCTCTGTATTTCTAGGTGTAACTCAAATCAAATGTTTGAAAACTCATGAAAAATATTGTACTTATCACATTTTCAGCTCAGGTTCAGAGCCTTCCAGTTCATGTATGATTCAAAGGATCATCTAAATATTAGGATGCCTGTCCAAACTAAAATGAAATTCCAGATGCTTGAGATTCACCTGTCATTGAAGATAATGTTGTCAGGAAGAAAGCCCAAATTACTCCACTAGCGATACAATATGGAGAATACCGTAGTAAAAATGGCACTTGCTGAATTTATGGTGATGCAAAGCTATGAGCTACCAGGAAGATGAACAAGGAATGTGGGAGACATTTTCCATGATTCATACCAGGAGCTACAGTGCTCCTTGCTGAGAACATATCCATCCCATACAGTTTGCAGAGTCAGACACTGTCCACCCCAAACAATTGCATGTGTCAGTTCCAATTGCTCACTGAACGGTGACACCTCACTCATTTCATGCTCCTCACCCTTTTCTCTGTATCATTCCTTTGTTGTGACCCTTTCTGTCAGAGATGTTAGTTTTAAAGCCAGCATGAGATTAGCTGCATAATGCTCCCCTTGCAAGCCTGCCTTTGCTTTATCTCCATCCAGCTGAGCTGGGCTCAGGATGCACCGAGCCCCCCCGGGAACGGCCGCGGTCCCTGCAGCCTGTTTGCATAACAGCTCACTCCTCTTTCTAACATGACCACAATAAGAAGAGGGGACACATTGTTTCCAGAAATAAAACAGATTAATTCTAAACCTACTGCAGAGCCAGGATAATAATATTTTTTTTTTTTAAGCCATGTATTTAACCATTTCTGAGGAGTCTAAAATAGCTAGACATTTGTGTGTATGCTATTCTTGTTTAAGAAAAAAATCTTCATCTGGGTTTACTAGGGGTTTAGGCTTTCTCCCACCACTTCAACAAAATATATTCAGAAAAAAAAAATCAAAATCAGAAGACTGCATCACTATTCGTTAATCTCCTTAAAATAAACATATTTAGAATTTTCTCTCAGTCCCCACACTCTTTCTCCAGCCAACCATTACTTAAAGATATGTTTACCTTCTTTCAAGGAACAGTTATTACTACATTCTTCTATGAAAGCCTATATCTGCTCTCTTTTCTGATTAATCAGCTAATTGACACCTTTTATAAGGAGGGTTTTTTATCATGGTTTTCCTCTTCATGTTTATACTCTGCACAAGACATTGATTTTCTTGTGTTTCCACCATCCCAGGCAGTTCTGACTTCTTCCCTTCAAGCTACATTGTAATAAAACAGGACAAATGCTGCAGTATTCTCTCCTTAAAAAAGAATAAGATTTTAACATGGATGGTATTTACAAATAAAATTCACCCCTCTTAACTTTACGCTTCTATAAACTAAGTTTCTAGTAATTTAAAACCTTGCAACCTGAGTATTTACATTCCCTACAGCCAACATGGAGAGAAACATCCAGAGGGTAATTTATCCCCTGCTAAGATGAGTGCTCAAGGCAGCACCTGCAGGAGATACTGGCTCCTATCTCATCCATTAAATAAACACAGAACCTTGATGACCTGGCAAAAACAAGACATGTATGGCTTGGCAGGGTCAAGTTACAGGAGATGAGATTTACCTTTAGGAACTTCTAGTCTTAAAAAAAACCCCAAACCAGCTGTTTTCATATAATCTGAAACAACCTTCAAGTGAAATAAGTGGTGCTGGATCACTTATCAGAATTTAACATGAAAATTAAAGCAATCACAGAGAAATGAGTTCTGAGTGATTACAAACTCCCCCTACACCCCATTTCTGTGCCCTTTTGGAAGGATGTAGTAGCTTTGATTGTGCATTACCCAATGATATCCTCTCAATATACCTAAGACAGATATATTTATTACGATGATATGATGTTGCTAAGTACTGCTCAAGATCCATGTCTTGCTGGGGATGAAGAAAAGGACAAGTTATTTTATCTCACTCTTAAATCTACTTCAATATATACATTTTAAATATATACTTCAATATATAAATTTTATCCTTCCTTGAATAAATTTAAATATGTCAGCTTTCCCAAAGTTTGAAACTGCAAGCATTCTAAAGAAATGTTTCACATGATATACATAGAGGTATCAAAACTAATGATATATATCAACTCACCTACAAAGAGTGTTCTGCTGAACCTATGTTGAACAAGAAAGTATCAGTAGATTTGAGAATTAAAGCTCCTAATTAATCTGGTAAGCTTATCCTAAAGTTTATTTCTACTTTTGCATAATAATATAAACTTGCCCAGATGAGAAGTATGTGAGGTAGGTTGAGCGATTTTTATTTGCCATATGCATTTACTGCACTGGGTCTTTTTGATGGCGTCTTTCTTCTGCCCCTCAATGCAGACCTAAAGCAGCTGCTGCAAACCTAAAATCCTCCTGAAACACCAGGATCCCACTTATCCCATGCCTGTCTATGACGTCGTCAAAGCATTTCCTAATCTCTATCCCTGTTGCCTTTTGACAAGTGTATGCAAGATTAAGCTAAGAGAAGGAAAATATATTCTCAGTAATATTAGTGGGTGGAACTTTCACACTGTTTAACTAAAAGGAACTATTCACTTTCAGGCTGGCAAGCAAAGAATAGAATAGTTTCAGGATGTAGAGTTTTCAAAAGTTTAATTTGCTTTTAATAATTGAATTGTTGTAGCACAGTATGGAAATA